CTTTGAAGATTTGCCTGTTCTGCTCCCCATTCTGTCTCTGGTGAATCCTCTCACCACTCCTGCACCTCTGGCCTGTACCCCAGTTCTGTATGAACAAATAAATAAATCTTTAAAAAAAATAAATGTCTTGTTATCTGTAAGTGACTTTAAAATACATCCACACACCCAAAAAAAGTAGATGAAGCTAATACAACAATATTAACAACTTATAAACCTACATTGTAGGTACTATGGGTGTCTTTTATACTAAGTTTTCTACCTTTCTGTGTTTGAAAATTATATTAATAAAAAGACTACAGTGGTGAGAAAGAAGTGAGATGTTGAAGGTAGTAGAAGAAAAGGGATAATCACAAGTGTAAAAATATGAAAGTATTTGGTAGGATTTAAATGTCAGGTGGAAGAATTGGCCCAGTGACAGAAAAGTCAGCTCTTACATTAGGATAGAAAGGAAGGCGGAGAATATGACAGGTTAGTCATTGTGAGTGCTTATGGATATATAGTAGTAGAAAATTGCAAACACTTATACTTGGTCACAACTTCATGTTGCCTTTAATTTATGATATAGAAGGTGAGGTTACATGGTACAAGAGGGCTGTGAGATGCTTAAAAGCCTGAAAACATCCCTAAGGTATTGAGATAGTTACCACTAAAAGTGGAAGTGAAGAGTAAACTGCCTAGAGGAACCAGGTAGTATGGAGGGCCCAGTTGTAGCAGAACTAATGCTACAACTAGAACTAGTGCCCCACTGGCTGCCTTTTTCAGTCAGTGTTTTGTAGTTTGGGTCTTGGCTGGAAAGAAAGTAGGTAGTTGGGTTCATCCAAGGTTGTGAGTTTGCCTGTTGAGTGTGACAAACTAGAAGGATTGAGTAGGGAGGGCAAAATTGTTGATGAAGTCCTGGCCCTGGGATCTAACCTGTATAAGGAGGGAAGTGTAACTAATGTGCTGCACACTGGTTATAGTCAACATACTATGTTAGGTGATCTTAAATGTTCTAGCCACAAAACAGAAACGGTAGTTCCAGAATGTGACAGATGTGCTAGCGCACATTTCCATGGGGTGATCTTAGCGTAGTATTGTATTGTATAGCGCAAGCTGACACAATTTTGTATCAATTACATCTTGATTTTTTAAAAAGATTTATTTATTTGTTTCTGCATACAGAACTAGGGTAAGGCCAGAGGTGCAGGGGTGATGAGAGGATTCACCAGAGACAGAGTGGGGAGCAGAATAGGCCGACTGATGAAGTACACTGCGAGGGGAGCAGCGGGCGGTTCAAGAGAGGTCTGCCACGCCATGTGGTCACCTGCTGTGCCATGTGGTCAAATTCACATTGAAGAGGCTGTGGCTTGCTTGCAGTGCTTTGTCCGAACCCTTTGCACCACCAGGGAGGGCCCAGTCTACACGTTATTTCTTAGGACTGCTTTTTGGAGAGTTCTTCAAGATAGGATGTTGGTCTCTGTTGATTCTCTGTGCTGCTCAGTCTCATGGGCGTGACACAGGTGTGCCTGAAAGGATGCCACATGTTTGACTTACTTCACAGCACAGGAACATTGAGCTTGGAGACCTTACCTTTTATGCTTAAGCTAACTTGTTCTTTGTCTTATGGGTACACCTTGCCTCACTTCTCAAGGTTGCTCCCTGCAAATACAAAACTAAGAAATTAACAAATAAAAACATCTAGGTCCCCATTCTTGAGCTACTCAACAAGAATGGACAGGGACACTTAAGGCTCATGATCTCTCCTGATGGGCTGCATCTAGAGTGGTGGTGAAGCAACTGCCTTTTATTTATTTATTTTAGAATTTTTTGAGAAATACTTTTATTTATTGGCTTTTCGTTAATTTAGATCCTTGAGAGATATATATCATGCAGTTTCTGTGTCTTATGGCCCTAGCAGGAAGGTAGTTGTGGAATTTGGCACAAACCATGCCCCTGTTTCTAAGGGTGTGTGTTACCTTTCCCCAGAGTTCTCTAGTTTTATTTGGCTTGGCCCCAGGAGTCACCGTGTTGTTCTTTGTTTTGTACACAGAGTACACTTCTTGTGTAGAAAGAATTCAGTTTCATCTCAAGCATGAACACCTTTACTTTGAAGAAGAGTCACGTGCTCCCTAGGCTTCTGAGACTCCTCTTATAGACAGAAAAAATGGCCTTGGGCCACAACCTCTAGCTGTATGTTAAAATTGTCCCCAGTAGGCCTTAGTTATTTGCCCCCAAAGTTCAGCAACAGGAATCTTGTCCACCTCTATTTGCTGTACTTTCATTCTTTGGGGAACCCAGGCTGGAAACTCATTTGTACATTTTTTATTGATTCACCAATAGTTTTTAAAACTATATGCATTTCAGGAATTTTCTTTTTAAAAAATTTTATAAGTTTATTTTTACATATTTTTGTGCATTTTTTCATTGCAATCCCCTTGGATTTCCCATCGGAGTTTATTTCTTAATTGACAATATAAGCTCAAAGTTAACCCTGGAAAAATAAACATTTGTATCACTGTTGATGTGATTAAGACTAGATGTCACACCTTTCCTCTTAGGAAATTTTAAGGAATCTGAATACTTTTAAGGAATCTGAGATAGTCGTTATGGTTATATATAACATTAACCTGAGGAGATAAAAATATTGGTCTTGTGCTTGAAGAAGAGAGAAAGTCATTCTGTAGAAAGAAGAACAAGCAGATAAGAAGAGAAAACAGAACAAGTAGAAAGTACTGTACTTTCAGTTTGGTCTTTTTCTGAGGTACTGATATTCCTGACTTTCATTTTTGTGATTCATCGTACATCCTTAGAATAAATTTTCCTTCATTTCTTAAGCTATTTCAGTTTAGTTTACTTATTGGAGAAGAGGGTGCCTTAGGAGTTAGGAATACGATAGAGAATAAAGCAAAGGCCTTGTATCAAACACTTAATATTGTACTCGGAGGAAATACATCAAATAAGCAAGTAAGTGCTAGAAGTTGTTGAGTCTTACAGTTAAAAAGAAGACAGGGGAGAATCTAGAAAGGGAGAATGCATGGCTGATAGGTGCTATCAGGAAATGTCCCTTTTTGCAGAAGTAAGGGAGAAGCAGTGAAGATACCAGACTCAAGAAAAAGGTGAATTCAGACAGAGGAAAAAGCAGGTGCTATCTGAGGCTAGAGCCAGCTAAATGTGCTCAAAGAACATCAGGAAAGCTTTTGAGTGATTGGAGCAGAGTGAGAGAAGGTTGAAGATGAAGGCAGAGGGGTGTGTATAAGAGATTGTGAAGGACTCTGTAGGTTAAGAAGATAAAGAGGTAAGTTTTCCTCTGACTGGAAAACCACTGTAGGCTTTAAAGCAGAAGAGTGATTGTGTCTTAAATGGATCACTGGTTTATATATTTAGAAGAGACTGGAGAACAATCAAGGGCTATAGAAGGACATCATGTGAGAGATGGTGGTGGCTGGACTAAGTTTGTAGAAGTCAAGGTATTCAGAGCTGGTTAAATCCTGGGTTTCTTTTCTTTCTTTTTTTTTTTTAAGGAAGTAATTGATATGCTGATGAATTAGATGTGGGGTATGGTAAATTAAGGGTGGTTTCCGGGTTTTTCTAACAAACAAAATGAATTTTGACCAAAGAGAAATGATCTGGAGAGTTTCTATTGAAGAGTAGAAATCATGATCCCAGCCCAGGCCCAGGGGCCAGCCCCACAGAGGTGCCATCAGGGTGAGGTATCGGGGAGCTTCTACAGGGCCAAGCAGGAAGGTAACGTGAAGTAGGTGACTGGGTGGTGTACATTTTGGATTAGCTCTTAAGCCCATCTCTCTGCCTCTTAATATGGTAGACAGATCTCTTCATACAGAATACTGTGATGTGTCACACCAGCGGATGAATTCTTGATTTTTTTTATAGTTACATAATGGCTCGGACAGGATATATAATTTTTGCCTAGAAGTCTCAACTTAGCAGATGGAAACAATTTGGGGAGTCTGTTAGACTCAAACAGACCCCACCAGCAGGATAGAATAGCATTTACTGAGATGAGGAAGACCTGGTGAGGTGGGGGTTTGTTCACTCTTGAAGTACTAAGTTTGAGGCGCCTGTTAAAACTACTGGGAATGTCAGTTGGTGCCCCTGAACCTGTAGAGGGAGTGCTCACTGGACTCATTCTGCTACTGTTCTATGTAATTCAGTCTGGAACACTAAAACTCAGGATTTTTCTGCCAGCCTCTCTGATCCCTTACCCTTCCATAAAATGCTTTCTGTGGAATATGTATGTATGTATGTATACACACATATATTTACTATATATATGTATGTATGTATGTATTTATTTATTTTAAAGATGTATCAATCTATGCATACAAGAACTGGGACACAGGCCAGAGGTAAGGGGTTGAGAGGATTCACCAGAGACATAGAAGGGAGCAGAACAGGGCAGATCGACGAAGTACACTGCTGAGGGGAGCAGCGGGCAGGTCAGGAGAGGTCTGCCACACCATGTGGTCACCTCCGGGGCAGGTGGGAATCGAACTCATGTGGAAGTGGTTTCAGCTTCTTAGTGCAGTGCTTTAATCCACTGCGCCACCAGGGAGGGCCTATATGTATTTATTAATCAACTTTAAGTTCTAGTAAAAATTCTCATTTGAGTTTAGAAAGACCAAAAAAGAAGTTACATATCAATAATTTTATTTAATTTAAAGATGCATTTATTTATGCATACAAGAAATGGAGTAGAGGCCAGCGGTTTGTGGGGAGGTGGGAAGGTGGTGAGAGGATTCACCAGAGACAGAGTGGGGAGCAGAACAGGCATATGTATTGAAATACACTGCTAAGGGGAGCAGTGGGCAGGTCAGGAGAGGTTTGCTGTGTCCTGCAGATCAGCTCCCTGGACAGGAACCAATTTTGTACTGCAGTGGCTGTGGCTAGCTTCATATTGCTGTGCTTTAACCTGTCACACCACATGGAGGACGCTCAGTAAGTTTAAAGTAGGTCAATTTGTAAATGGACAACTGAATCCCTTCTCTTATTTTTTTTAACAGTTGCTGTTCTTTGGTAATTCCTGAGGGAACTACGGTCTAAGGATGAGTGAACTGGAACAGTTGAGGCAGGAAGCAGAACAACTGCGGAATCAGATCCAGGTAAGAGCAAGCTTTTTTCATTTTGAAATTTTAACATTTTCAGTATCAGCACTGGACTAAATTTGTTCATTAGTTTATCAGTCAACTTACATGAAATAAATTCCAAAGCTGGAAATGGTCAATTTTTTTTTATAATGTCTCAAAGAACTCTCCAAAAATCAGTCCTAGCAATAATGTGTAGAATAATGGCCTCTTTGTCCCTGAGAAATTAATACTATATATGTAGTCCTGCTGAACGATAACAGTTCTCTTCTTGTTTACACACCTGGAATTATAGATTGATTTTTAGTACAATGTAATGAGGCAGATGTGTGTAGGTGTGTATTTATGTTTATTGAGATAATGTTTCAGGGGGACAGGTTCCCAGCTCTGCAAATGTAGCTCATCACACCATGCCCATCACCAGCGCCCCAATTATCTTCTGTCATAGCTCACTGAGTTCCTTTCCACCCTTGCGCTCATACTCTGCCCTCCCTTTTGAGTAGCCTTTGTTCTGTTATTGGAAGGATTTATTTTTGTCTGTTTCTTTGCTTTGTTTGTATTCTATATATGAGTAAAATCACCTGGTATGTCTTTCTCCTTCTGACTCATTTCACTTAGCATAGCCCCCTCTAACTCCATCCATGCTGTCTCAAGTGGCAATATTTCATTTTGTTTTTTTTAACATAGCTGGGTAGTATTCCATTGTCTCTACCACCTCATCTTTTTTTAAAATATCTTTTACATCATTCTTCATTTTGTGCATTTTTCCAGCTCAGTTGTAATCCCCATGGGCCTCCCATCACATGTGCCATCACCACAGTCCAGTGCACTCTTCCCACCCCAGTTCCAATACCATTCCCACCTTGTCTTTATCCACTCATCTTTTTTTTGAACACATAAGTTGTTTCCATAAGTTGACCTTTCTAAATAGTACTGTAGTGAACATAGGGATACATTTATCTATTTGAATTAATAGCAATTGCTAGGAGAGGGATTGCTGTATCAGATGGTAAATCTTTTGTAATGAATTGAGGACCCTCTGTACTACTTTCTATAGGAGTTGGACTAGTCTACATTCTCATCAGTAATGTACCAGGGTTCTCCACATCCTCAACAACATTTATTGTTTCTGACTTTTGATATGGGCTATGCCCACAGGTGTGAGGTGGCATCTCATTGTGGTTTGGTTTGAATTTTCCTGATGGTAGATGATGACGAGCATAGTTCATGTACATGTTAGCCATCTGTATGTCTTTTTTGGAGAAGTGTTTTGTTTAACTCTTCTGCCCTTTTTTTTGATTGGATGATTTATTTATTTATTTGTTTTTGTTAAGTCATTATGAGTTCTTTATAGATATATGATATTTAAACCTTTTGGCTGTATGATGTGCAAGTGTTTTTTCCCTTTTGGTGGGTTTTGTGGGTTTTTTTCCCCCAAAGATTTATTTATTTATGCTTACAGAAATGGGGTACAGGTCAGAGGTGTGGTGGATGAGAGGAGTCAGCAGAGACAGAGTGGGGAGCGGAACAGGAAGCTTGACAAAGTACACTTGCTGAGGGTAGGTCAGAAGAGATCTGTCTTGCCATGTGGGTCAGCTTCCTGGCCGGGGATGGAACGCATGCTGCCGTGGCTTTGGAGAGCTTCTTAATGTGGTGCTTTAACCAGTTGCACCACCAAGGAGAGCCCGGTTTTGTGGTTTTAATACTTTCTTTCATTGTGCAAAAGCTTTTTAACTTGAAATAGTTCCATGTGTTTATTTTTGCTGTTGTTTCTCTTTCCATTGTTGTCAAATCCTTAAAAGGATCACTGAAGCTGATGTGGCATGATATCCCTATTTTTTTGTTATATATATTGTGATCTCAGTCCTTATACCCAACTCTTTGATCTGTTTTGAATAATATTGAAGGAATGGTATAAAGTACTGGTCTAGTTTCTTTCTTTCTTTCTTTTGTATGTGTCTATCCAGTTTTCCAAACCCATGTTTAATAGACTTTCCTATCTCATTGTAGGTTCTTTATGCCTATTTCATAAACTAACTGTCCATATAAGTATGGATTTATTTCTGCCAGTTGTATTCCATTGATCAGTGTCTATTTTTAATTTAAAACCACACTGTTTTGATTACTATTTCATTGTAATATAATTTGACGTCCAGGAACATAATACCTTCATTCTTTTTTGGTTAGTAATGATTGCTTTTACACCATCTCTTTTATGTCGCTTGTTCTAAATGGTGGACAGAATTGACTGTTTGGCCAGGCACATGACCATCTCATTTCATCCCTGTGAGGTAGAGAATGTTACCTTATAAAACACATTTGGAAGGATTCCTTTTCTTCAGTTTTTTGGAATTGTTTGAGAAGATAGGTATTTGTGTTTGAAAGCTTGCTAGACTTCTTTGGTGAAACCATCTAATCCATGACTTTTGTAGTTTGTTTTGTTTTTGAGGAATTTGATCACTGTTTCAATTTCCTTGCTTAAAATAGTGCTACTCAAATTTTCATTCAATCTTGAAGGCTGTATGATTCCTAGAATTTTTTGTTTCTTTTAGGTTATCCAATTTGTTTTCATAAAAATGTTCATAATAATGTCATGTTCCTCTGTATTTCTGTGATACCTCTTGTGAGGTTTTCACTTTTATTCTGATTCTAATTCATTAGAATTTCATCCCTTTTTTTCTTAGTGAACCTAGCTAGAATTTTACCTATTTTGTTTATTGTTCCAAAGAACAAGTTGTTGGTTTCATTGGTCTTTTGAATTATTCTTCTAATTTCTATTTCATTTATTTCCACTCTAATTTTTATGATTTGCTTCCTGTTATTGTATTTCTCTTCCATTTGTTCTTAATTTTTATTTTTTTAAAAAGATTTATTTATTTAGGTATACAAGAACTTGGGTAGAGACCAGAGGTGCAGGGGGGTGAGAGGATTCACTAGAGACAGAAAGGGGAGAAGAACAGAAAGATCTACTGAAATAAACTGCTGAGGGGAACACTGGGCAGGTCAGGAGAGGTCTGCTACACCATGTGGGTATACACCTCCCTGGCTGGGATCAAACTCCTGCTGCAGTGACTATTGATAGCTTCATAGTGCTGCACTTTAACCCATGTACCAGCTTCACAGTGCTCTGCTTTAACTCATTTTACCACCAAAGAGGGTCCTGTTCATCATTTTTAAATTAGATGTAAGATTAGAGTGTTTTTTTAAATCTTTGTTGATATATACCTGTATTGCTATTACTTGCCTCGTTATACTGCTTTTGCTACATCCCACATGTTCTGATAGTTCTTGTCTTCATTTTCATTCAACTAGTGAAGCAGATATTATCACATATCAGGAAAATATTAATATATACAATATTAACTAATACCAGGAAAATGTTAATCTATACAATATTAGAGTGCAGTAAAACATTAGTAATAATTAGTGGCATTCTAGATAACTAGAAGTTAACTTGGAAGTCACTTAATACAGTTAAGAGGATAAGAAACAAATACAAGCTCCCTTTATAAAAAAAATTAAAAGAAACAACTTTTAATCCATAACAGGATGGGGAAGAGTGCCAAGTATAGTCATGCATCAGGGTGTGCGGAGACTCAGAGAGGGTGCCTGCAGCTGCAAATCTCATTTAGTAGGTAGCTCTCCCTCAGAGACAACACCAATAATACTTTTTTGAGAACAGTGGAAACAGGTGCTTCCTTGGACTTTGTTGACACAGGAATATCAAGGAAGGTAGAGCTAAATTTGAAAGGATATAGACTTGTCATTTTTGAGGAATCTCTTGGGGAGTAGATTAGAGAAAATACTCGTGTGTGCACCCTGGCATTGCTTACTTCTTCCCTTAGGGGAAAGTGAAGGCTAAGACTATTTACAAATATGAACATAAAGTAAGGAGACTCTCTACTAACTTGCACATTGCTGTGACCTTTCCCAAGAGGAACCTGTTGCAGTTGCCATTTCCAAAGAATTCGTTTAATTTAAAAGTGAAAAATAAAAAGAAAGGAACAAACATTGGATTCATACAAAGACATTACCAAAAGAATGAGGGGACATGCAGCAGGAAAAACAAAGGATGGGTGCAAAACATCAGAGAATGTGGAATCAGAGCATTAAAATCATAACCAGTCTTATTGCTGAGAAAGCAAGGAAGTAAATGATTTAGATGTAAGTAAGTACCCTTAATTGATACATTAGGTATCTGAACAAAGCTATCAAAACATAGGAATTTATTTACTGGGATTATCAGAGAACACTTCCTGGGCTGTTCTCTTAATTCAGTGCTGTGGCCCCTACCAGAACAGATTCTCTACCATCACTTGCTCCAGATGGTGAACAGGATTGACTGAATGCGTGGCCAGGCACATGCTTATGGAACCATTTTATTTAATCCTCATAGGGCCTCTGTGAGGTAGCTAGTGTTACTTCATTTCCTAATTGAGAGGACTGAGGAGACTCAGTAAGATTATAGAACTTGCAAGTAACATAACCACCAGGTGATAGGTCCCGGATTCAGACCAGGTGTGTTTGGATTCCAAAGACTGATGTAGCACGGCCTCCAGCTGTGTTTGCTCACATACTTCCTGTGCAGCTTGTGCTGTAGCCTTCCAAGTCTGTTGCCAGCCTCTGAAGTTGCTCCTTCCAACTTCATTGCCTTCAAAAAAAAAAAATCTTTTTACTAAAATAACATTGTTGTATAACAAAAGCTTCAGATGTACCTCTTATAAATCATCATGTGTATAGCCAACATTATTCAATGCTTTAAGTCTAGTTCTATCCTTTACCGAACAGCTGAGTCCTTGCTCTTGATTTACCTACCCCTCGCTTTCCATGGTAATCACTAATTAGGTGTCTAGAAGTTTTGTTGTTTTAGTTCATTCATTTGGTTTCTCTATATAGCACATATGAGTGAGATCATACCATATTTGTCTTTCTCCTGACATATATCTGCTCTGTCAATCCATGTTGGAAATGATAGGGTTTCACCTTTACAGCAGTATGATTGTGCTGTACACCACATTTTCATTATCCAGTCATTTGTTGGGGAGTACTTAGGTTGTTTTCACTCTTGCCTATTGTAAATAATGTTGCAGTGAAAATGGGAAAGCATATATCTCTTCAAATTAGTGTTTTCTATTTTAGGGGTAAATTACTACAATTGGAATAATTGGATTTTATGGGATTTCTGCTTTAAATTTTTTAGGAATTCCCATATTGCTTTAAATTTTTTCATTTGCCTGTAATTAAGCTACTTCTCTTCATGGGTCTCCAATTATTCATTGAGTCAGTCTTCTAAAAAGCTTAGCAGAGTTCCTGGATTTATTTTCACTTTATTGAAAGGCAGCATAGCATGGACTTCACCTTTTACTTAATTTTTGCCCATAGGAAAGGTTGTTGTTGTTGTTGTTGTTTTTAAGTTATACCTGGATTTTTAAAAAGATTTATTTATTTATGCATACAAAACTGGGGTATAGGCCAGAGGTGCAGGGGCATTCACCAGAAAGCAGCGGGCAAGACAGGAGAGGTCTGCCGCACCATGTGGGTCACCTCTGGGACTAGGGATCGAACTTGCACTGAAGTGGCTGTGGCTAGCTTGCAGTGCCGAGTCCTAATCCATTGGGCCACCAGGGAGGGCCCTGTTTTTGCTTTTGCTTTTGTTTTTAACTACTTGATGTTTGGATGTCTTTGCTGTCCAGTGAGCATACTAATGCCTGCAGTCTAGGTTGGTGGAGAAGATTAAATGAAATAACATGTAAGGGAGTTAGCACGACACCTCTAAGTGTTGCTTCTTTGCTTATATAGCACTCTGGACTTGCATCTCTGTGCTGGTCACTATCTGCTGTGTGTTATGAGTCCTTCTGCACAGTTGCTTCTGCTACCGGTACTTGATGGAAAACTGTCTTAATCATCTTCATGTCTCCACAGCATCCAAAAAAACCACAATGTCATGGGTACAGGTGCCCACTGAATCACCTCCTCCCATGATTTCAAGTACTTTTCTTAGTTTAATCATGTCCCACTGTACTTAAAACTCCTTCCTTCCTTCTTTCTACCTCCACCCCCAGGAATATAATGAACTATTTACTTAAATATGGTAGAAACAGCTAACGTAAGTATATTATGTATCAAATGTCACTGCTACAGTACAATTTATTTTAAATTCAAAAACAAAACAGATTTGTCTTGTTTTATAATAGTTTTTGGATTCAGTGTGAAAAATATCACTTTTATTTTACACAAAGATGTTAGTATCAGCTCTTATATTTCTTACCGTGGAAATATGAAATTGAATGTTTAATATCCTTTTAGATTCAATTTTACAATGGATAGTAGTGTTCAGAAACTTAAGTTCTCTGTGAGTAGAATCTCTGCATAGTACAAATTTGTGATTGTTGCTGAGATATTCATGGGATTTTTATATTCCAACATGATATTACAGTTTTTACTACCTGTTTTCACTGTGAAGCATTAATTTTCTGTTCAAAAATTATTTTGTTAATACTAACGTGTGCTCTAAAAGAGCAGTGGTATTTACCTTCCCTCTGCTGTATTCCTGGTGTCTAGCAGAGAGCCTGATGCCATGTTCAACAGATATTTTACCAGAAAACTATATCAAGAAAGATCACCCAGTGATAATTCATTTTCATAAAGCTTCAAATCATAAAGCATTTTTTCCCACTGCACCATTTTTTGGAGCAGGACTCCCCTGATCCTTGTGAACTGACCATCACTGTCATTTCTGAAACCTCTCTTCTTTGTAGAAAAGCAGGCAGCATTATTCTTTGCCAAATGAGGTCTCTAAACTCACAATTTGTCTAAGAATGAGAGAATCAAATAGTATATTTGTGCAACTGCTTCTGAACACCCTGACGCAAAAATATTCTGTTTATAAATAGGCTGAAAGGGCATGCAAAACCATTCCTTCTCGTCCTTGCTGCCTGCAGAGACAGGCTCTTCTCCCCAGACTGGAACAAATTGTTCATTTGGGACATTTCTCAACAAATATTGTGTACCTCCTCTTGCAACAGGCATACACTAAGCATTGCAGAGAAGCACAAACTTGAAGGTTACACTACTCGAGCTTGTGTTGAAAAAATTATTTTAAGTCTATAGGAAGATTTAATTGCATTTTGGATTTTCCTCACATAAGTGAATTTGTTATCTTGGTTTTCAACATTCTGTTGGTTATTAAGTATGTTATAAGCCTGGATTTACTGATTTTTGTCATATTGTTTTATTGCACTTCCTCCTTTGGTTAGTTCTTTCAGTGTGTATAAAAATTTGAGATCTGTTGGAAAAGCTGCCCTCTAATACTTAGGCATGAAAGCCTGCTTACCTACAGGGAATTTGTTGTAGGTATATAGACTCGAATCAATTTATATTTTCTATTATATAACATTTTTTTCCTGAGCTATATCCTTTTTTCATATTGGATCAAAAATATTTTATTATTAACAACATTTGTATACACTGTATTTGCAAAACATTTGAGGAAGTGTTGCTTATTTTGATATTTCTTAAATGTCCTGGGTTATACTATAAATATCCTTCTTGTCACCTCAACTTCTAAATACCAAAACAAACAGAGGGGAACTTGTAGTTCTTATTTCTGAGGAAGCTCAAGAACAAATATAATTACCAATATTATCACTTTATTACTCTAGTTTGTTTTTTACTCAGACATGATTTTAAAAAAGATTTTAATAGAACTAAAAGTACATTTTCACAATGGAATAAAATTGAGAGTATAAATAAATCGATATATCTGTGAGCAACAGATTTTAATAAGGGTAACAAGGCCTATTTATAGGGCAGTACTTTCCAACGAATGGTATTGTGGCAACTGGATTCCCACACACAAAAGAATGGACAACTGTTGTAAGGATGTGAAGAAATTGTGAGCATTTAAACTGGTGCAGCTGCTGTGAAAAATTGTTTGGCAGTATTTTTTAATAGAGTTAACATATCCCCCACCAGTTTATTCCTACATTCATACCCAGAGTGTTAAAAACATATGTATACATAAAAACCCAGATATATATGTTCATAATAACATTGCACATAAAGATCAAACAGAGGGAACAAATGTTCACCAGTTGATTTATAGATTAACAAAAAACTGAATGGTATACCCATTCAGTGAACTGTTGTTAATCATAAAAACAAAGGATTGATAAATGCTTCAACATAATGAATCTTGAAAACATTACTTAAGTTAAGGAAGCCACACACAAAGGTCATATATGGCATGATTCTATTTATGTGAAATATCCAAAGTAGGCAAATCCATAGAGCTAGAAAACAAATTAGTGATTGCCAGAGGATGAGAAGAGAGAGAATTGGTAGATAGTGGGTCTCTTTTAAGGGATGACGGAAATGTTCTGGAATGTTAGAGTGGTGATAATTAAAATAATTAAGCACATTAATTTTATGTTATGAGTTTTTATCTAAAGTCCCTTAAAAGATGTGATAAAGTAAAATGTATTTTGCAAAACTACATTTTCAACAAAATATTTTAATCATTTCTAGAGGTTTTCATGTCTAAATCTATTTTATCTTTCTTTACTTTAGGATGCTAGGAAAGCGTGTAATGATGCAACCCTTGTTCAGGTAAATTGATTTTTGACCTCAGTTCATGTCAATGATTTACATGAGACAGCTCAATTTGATGCAAATGGCATTCACATATTTTCATTAGAATTTAATTGGAAAAAAATCACAAACTACTTTAATAGCTGTTTGCAATACATTGGTCCCTGTGGAAGTGCTTTTTATTATTATTATTATTGTTATTATTATTTTGCATACAAAAAGTGAGATGAGTGGCTCCACTAGAGACAGAGTGGGGAGCAGAACAGGGGAATCTACTGAAATACATTACTGTGTGGGAAAGCTCTACTACGCCACGTGGGTCAGCTTTCTGGTCAGGTGGAACTCATGCTGCAGTGGCTTTGGATAGCTTTGATAGTGCTTAGACTTTAGCCCTGTGCCACCAGAGAAGCCCAGATATTAATCTCTTTTATTAAATATTTTATGTGCTATACAATTGTAAATCCGACTTTCCTATAGATAGATTGATAAATGTCCTACTCTTTGGTCATCAAGTTGGGTTTTTATTTCACTGCTTTTTTTAGCTGAAGTTGAAAAGTATGTCAGTTGTTTTTCAATTAATAGTGTATAGAAGACATCCACACTGGAAGATGTGCAAATAGGATCATTTTAGATTAATCATACTTTTTCTTGAACATCAATCCTGTAATGATGCTGTGGAATCATTTATATTAATTTGTTGTGCATTCATCAACGTGTGTTCTTTTACTTAAAACTTTTAAATTAAACTGAATGCAGTGGTATCTGTTACAACTACTTCTTTTCTTATTTTGGAAACACGCTTCTTCAAGTTTCAGGTACACAACATGATGCTTTGATTTTCAGATATTGTGAAATGATCACCAAGTAGGTTCACTTAACACCCCTCTATGTAGATATACGTCTCTGGTGTACATATAATAAAAATATAAAGAAGAAAACTTTTTCTTCTTGTGCCGAGCACTCTTAGGACTCACTCTCACAGCCGTGCTGTGTGTCCCACCCGCCGTTGGTTCTGTCACCCTGTGCTCCGTGACATCCCCTAAGTGGATGTTCGCACCTTTTGGCCACCTTCCCTACACCCTCCTGTGTGCCATTTGCCTATCAGTTTTTCTAGTTATAGTTATTTTCTGAGCTATGAATAAAGCAAAGAGTAACATTTTCGCCACTTTCTAAAGATCACGTCAAATATGGACTCCGTGGGTCGAATACAAATGCGAACAAGGCGTACTCTGCGGGGCCACCTCGCCAAGATCTATGCCATGCATTGGGGTTACGACTCAAGGTTGGTTTCTGCCATTTTCAAACTATTGGCCTAGTTATGTTTTGTTAAGGTAATTAGCCTTTTATTGGTTTATACTGTGATTATGAAGTATATGCAGAAAATGATCCAATAGGAACATCTTTCACTAACAATATTAACATTAACACTGTTAAAAGTTTAGAAATTAACGATCCATGAAAACTGTTTAGAAAAGTATTTCTTTACAGCGCAGCATTGCACTTTGTTTTTAAATGTGCCAAAAGCAGTTTTATTGTATATTTACCTTGACTTTTCAGTTATTGTGGGGTTTTTTGTTTGTTTTTTAAATATTTATTTTATGTATTTGTGTATATGAGAACTGGCGTGCAGACCAGAGGTGCAGAGAGGAAGGGTAGGAGGATTCACCAAAATTAGAGTGGGGAGCAGAACAAATGGATCTTCTGAAATGCACTGCTGAGGGAGCAGCAGGTGGGTTAGGAGAGGTTTGCTGGACCTTGTGGGTCATCACCTCCCTGGTGGGGGATCCACTTGTACTGTAATGGCTGCGGATTACTACATAGTGTTTTGCTTTAACCTGTTCTGCCACCAGGAAGGGACCCAAATTCTACGTTTTCAATATGAATTCTTTTTTGCAGGGTTTTACTTGATTGACTCAACTAGTATTTAATTGCCTCTGTTTTACTTTGTATTGCATTTATTTTATTCCATAACTCTGTTTTCACTTACTTTGATTTATTATAAATATCTGTAAATGTCTGTTTCCACTAGATGAGAGAGGTTTCACCTGTGGGCAGCATTTCCTGCTTTGTACCCATAGTGCTCTGGTTCACAGACTCTCAGTTGATATTTTTGGGTTCAATGAACTTGGTTTTATGTTTGTATGTACTTTATTCTCATTGAATTTGTCGGTAAATATTAAAGCCGTCAGCTAATAGCTGCAGAATCTTGAATAAGATCTAGAATGTTTTCACCGTGAAAGAGTCACAACCAGAGATATTTTTAGTGAAGTATCTAAATTTTGCTTTGTTGAACATTTTGTCATACAGAATAAATTCTTTAAAGGTGGGAAAATATTTTTCATTATTGATTTTTAATATTGATTTTCTTTTCCATTCTACTTTAATGCATACATAACTAATTTAACCTACTCTTTTTCCTCTGTCAAATTATTATTATGTTTGTTCCTCCAGGTTACTAGTCAGTGCTTCGCAAGATGGAAAATTAATTATTTGGGATAGCTATACAACAAATAAGGTAGAGTTTCTTAATTATTCTTTTAAGAAATCTTATATTTGGCTTGATGTTCACCAGTTCTTTCCTTTATTTTGTTATTATATCACTCAGTTGATTTCTAAGATAAACTTATTCTCTGTATTTTAATCCAGTTCTTCTCTCAGATTTATTCTTTGGTGTTTATTTTTATTACTTTTCCCTTTTTTATTCCCAAAGACAAATAAGGTATATTTTCAGTGATTTATTCACTTAAATTTTAAATTTCTTGTTTGAATATTAGAATTTGATGTACATCAGTTTTAAGTGAATGATTTTGTCAAAAACAATTCCCATTTCCTAACAAGTCAGTGACCCTGAACTTTTTATTCATAGTTGTGAGAAACCTAGAATGCTAGTATGAAGCTTTGCTTTGGGGCATCGCAGTCACTGATTTCTGTTTCAATACAGTAGTTTGGGTGCAAATTAGAACTGACTTAGATCCCTTGGGGTGGAAGCAGATCCTCCTGCCATGTCAGCTGGAAGGAATCCCAGACTTAAAGGTGTTAAGCAGTGTGAAAAGCTTCAGGGAGACTTTCATAGTCTAATACCTTGCGATATTATGAGCATAGGTTTTCATTAAAAATTCAAAAATACTATTTTGCAAAGTAATTAGTAGCTTTAGTAAGACTGAGATTTTAAAAATAATTAAGATATCTGTAATATAATAATTTTGTGTATTAATTAGTATTAGCATGTATCTTTTTTTTTTTTTAAGATTTGTTTATTCATATAGAACTGGGGTACAGGCCAGAGATGGGAGGGTGATAGGATTCACCAGAGACAGAGTGGGGTGCAGAACAGGGAGATCGAAGAAGTACACTGCTGAGGGGAGAGTGGGCTGGTCAGGAGAGGTCTGCCTTGCCATGTGGACCTCCTCCAGGCAAGGCCGGAATCGAACTCATGCGGAAGTGGCTTCAGCTTTTTAGTGCAGTGCTTTAACCCGCTGCACTACCAGGGAGGGCCCAGCATGTATCTTTTAGCAATATTTTCCTAAAACAAAAGAGTTCATTTTAAAAATATAATATTAAGTGAAAGCTAGTAGTAGTCATGTGACGTGTTGATTCTCTATACGGCTATTTTATCCTAGCTATTCCCACACAGCTGAACTTTTTGCCACCTGACATGCATTTGAGTGTTGCTGGGTGAACATTGGTATAGACATTAGTGTGACTTGATCAACAAATCTATTACCAATGTTTGATTTTGAGCCCCAGGATATTCCCTAGTAATAGAATGACAGGAGTACTGTCTCTTCATGGAAGAGCCATTTTAATTGATGGTCATACCTGTTAATTATCATCTCCCTTTTAACTCTTCAGTGTCATATTGGCGATTTCTCTTTTTGAGCACTTGTATAAAAGCAAAGAATTTTATTAATTTGTCATCTTTAATTTTTTACACTTAACATATCAGAGGGCTCTATGGGCATTGAAACATCCTGTGTTTTTGCTTCTATTAAGAGAAAGAAAGTACTTTTGTATCTGAAAATCAGGCATGTGGTGTGCCTTAGTATTTTAGTTTTCATTTTCTCAAAGCACTGCATTCTTTATTTTATTTGGCTTATTTTTCCTATGTAACACTGTTTTATTGTAAATAGATTGAAAATAAGTAACAACTTTTGTAGTCATTATTATTTTTGTAGTCATAACTTTTTGCTTGTTCGCTGCAGATGCATGCTATTCCTTTGAGGTCCTCCTGGGTGATGACTTGCGCTTATGCACCCTCTGGTAATTATGTGGCCTGTGGAGGACTGGACAATATCTGTTCTATATATAATTTAAAAACCAGAGAGGGAAATGTGAGAGTGAGCCGAGAGCTACCGGGCCATACAGGTGAGCTAAACAAAGTATTATTTCCTCCCAAGCCTGACTCCTGAAGAGGAGCTGATCAAGCAGAACCTGTGACCGGTTGTACCCAGCTAGCCACGGGATGAGTGTTACTCAAGTGAGAGTAAAAATTACTATGAGTCATAGAAGCACTAACTTCTTATAATCATACCATTGATGACTTTAATTCTACTTTCCTTTTAGAGGCAGCTGTGCTATTTTTGTAAAAATGAAAAACTTACTGCAAAAAAATTTTTTTAATGCAAAAACAGAAGCAAATATAATTTTCCCTATTCCCTGTAACCATATAACAATTATGGGACTTTGGCATTTATACTCATGCAATTGAAAGCATGTATTCATCTGTATTTGTGAAATGTTTTTCATCATGTGCTATGCATTGCTTTATTAGCCAGTGGGCATTGCCAGTGCTAATGGTGTTACTTGGGCATTTATTGCCACTCATATGCTTGCTGCCTGTGAATTCTTGGTGATACTGTTTGATAATGCTTTTAACCAAATCTTTAGAAAGGCATTTCTCTACCATGTCCACATTTAAACCACCACTGATGCTTGTCATTCAAGTAGGCTTTTTGCTGAAAAGGTGAAGATGTTTGTTCCAAATTTCTCCAAGTACTTTTATTTTGCCAAGGTATATAACAGGCTGCCATAGGTTTTAGTTATTTGCATGACTAGTTGTCTCTCTCCCTCACATAATATAGTGGGTAGAAGGGACTATGTCTTACTGAACTCTGCAACTTGCAGAGAGTCAATACATCTTTGATATAGTAAATACCTGTGTCTGTAGATAACATACAGTTTAAAATATTGAAAAGTAGAACTATAGTCTATACTAACAGATCTTTTTGCTCCTGGGTATTATAATTTTATCATATATATTACCATTTCAGATGTAGCTGAGTTATTCAGTGGCAATAACCTAAAATGTATTATTCTATATGCTCTAGGCTACTTGTCCTGCTGTCGATTTCTAGATGACACTCAAATTGTTACAAGTTCAGGAGATACAACTTGGTAAGTCTACTGCAGAAGAGCACTGATTTTGTGGGTTGAGGGTAGTGAGAACTAACATAAAAGATAATTGTCATTATTTTTATTTGTTTTTAATTCCAGTGCTCTATGGGACATCGAAACTGCCCAGCAGACCACCACATTCACTGGGCATTCTGGAGACGTGATGAGTCTTTCTCTGAGTCCTGACATGAGGACTTTCGTTTCTGGAGCTTGTGATGCATCTTCTAAATTATGGGATATTCGAGATGGAATGTGCAGACAGTCTTTTACGGGACATGTGTCAGATATTAATGCTGTCAGTGTAAGTGTGTAACATGCTAAGGAAATGTCTTGTGCATTGAAAGGGTGGACCTCGGTAACATGATTTTAACAGCAAACTACCTTCAAAGATTCTTATAAACAATATGCTCTTACACAGATTCCCTGAATTAAAGGGCATCACTTTTCAAAGGTAGAAACATTTTAATCCCTAAGTCTGTCTTTATTTGTAGGTGAACAGTAAATTTATTTCTAAATTTAGAGAGTTGGAGTTGGGTTCTGCCCTGGGTAACGGATATATGGTCATCTGTCTCTGGAACAGACTACATGTGCATGCTACCTCCGCCACTCTGATCCACAAGGGGTATCTTCTGAATTGGGTGTTTTGCAGATCATGGCTTGTATTGCACTGTGGGCCTCTTTTCTGGTTTTGATTAGAGAACAAGTTTAATCATATTTCCTGATAATATGTGTGCAATGATAGTCCTGGATTCCTGCCAGAAATGACAGGGCGTATCTTGGTGGATGTTAGAATGGAAGAAAATAGTCAAACCTGGCCCTTCCTTGTGGCTCAGTGGGTTAAAGCACAGCACTGAGAAGCTAAAGTTACTTCTGCATGAGTTCAACTCCTGCCTGCCCCAGAGGTGACCGCATGGCGTGGCAGACCTCTCCTGACCCGCCCACTGCTCCGCTCAGCAGTGTACTTCGTCTGTCTGCCTGTTCTGCTCCCCACTCTGTCTCTGGGGAAGCCTCTCTCCGCCTCTGAGCCAGTGGCCTGTATCCCAGTTCTGTATGCACAAATAAATCTAAAAAAAAAAAAAAGAAAATAGTCAAACCACTGGACTATAAGCAAGCAGTAAGGGTTGGTGAAGCCTTTTGCATTACTGAGGGCCTTAGGAACTTCACAGTAAGTTACCTAGCATGACTATTGTTTGGGTGTTTGGTAGATGAAGAAATTTTGGCAAGCATTTTGGCAAATGCTCCTTGTGCATTTTGGGAATTTAAAAGAAGGAAAAAATGTTGTATATATTTAATATGGAGAAGCCATTTCCTTTGGGACAAGGCTTTAACCATCCTAAAAGCATTAAAGTGAAGCACTTGTATTTCCAAGAGCCTGTTCACTGCTAACACCGCCTGCCCTGAGTGGGGGCTTCTAAACAGTGAACCACACAGATGTTTGCTTGGTATTAAACAAAACTGCAATACAATTATCATGATTTCAATTGTCCTGAGACATAAAACCTATACAGTTGGACCCAAAATTGAAATAAGGGATACATTAAGAAGTGAGGAGAAAAAATTAAGTAGAAAATACCATTATTTGCAGGTGATCATGTTTAACTAGCTATCCCAAGAAAGTCCTTTGTATTTTCTGGACTACAAAAACTATTTTAAAGTCAGTAACTTTTTTTATAGCAATAATAGCCAGATAAAATATAAAGGAAGAAAATCCTATTGAGAATACCAACAAAAATTATGAAATAGGCAAAGAATAAATTTACCAAGAAATGTGCAGAATCTTTATTAAAAAGAGCATAAAATGTTATTGGTAAACTTTATTTATAATACTTAGAAATACATTCTGTGTTATTGGATGGGAAGAATGCATATTGCAAACCAATCCTTTATCCTAGAAATTAATGTTTAGGTTTAAGACAAAATTTTTAAAGACATTTTTATTTATTTATTCATACAAGAGCAGGGGTGTATGCCAGAGGTGGGGGGGGGGGTGCAGAGACAGAGTGGTGAGTAGAAGCGGGCAAGACTGGAAGGTCTGCTTCATCATGGGTCTGCTCCCTGGCCAGGGATGGAACTCAGGCCACAGTGGCTGGCCGTAGATTGGTATGGCTGAGACTAAGCCACCAGGGAGGTCCCAGGTTTAACTTCAAATTTTAATCAAACTTCTAGTGGATTTGGGTTTTTTGAGAAGAGTCGAACTAAGGAATATGGAGAAAAGATACTTAACCAAAATTAAAACTAAAGTGCAAAAAAAAGAAACAGATTGACTTGAAGCAGAATAACAGTAGTGCTTTACCATGCCAGATAATAAAATCTGCTTTCAAGTTATAAATAAAAAAGAAAGTGTGACCACAGGTATAGGGAGGCATAGACCAAAAACTCATAACTAGTATTTTTGTGTATGTGCTTAATAAATAGATATAGCAATGAAATCAGTAGAAAGAAAAATGATTATTAACATCTTGGACAACTACTTAACTATTAAGAAAATTTAATTAGATCCTTACACTGAATGCTCTATATCAAATTAATTCCACATGAATACAAATCAAGATGTAAAATGTGAAGTCACTAAAAAAGGAACAAGAAGAAAATATAATTGAACATCAGTTAACTTGAAAAAGGATTTTATTCATACAAGAAGGAAATCTGAATGGGGAAGATAAACAAGTGTGACTACATAAATACTAAAAACTAGTTGCTGTTCTTGGAAAATTAAAATAAAGTTATATTCTTCATTATATTCCTTATAAATTTGCAAGTTCAGTACTCACAGCACAGTAAAACATAAGCAAAGGTCATTAGCAATCAGTTCCCAAAAATTATGACAGATGGTCAGTAGATTTATGGAAAAGGTTATTTCCTCCTTGTAAAACACCTGTGTTGAGTAGAGCCAGTAGCTGAACAGAAAGGTTCACAAACTAATGATGAAAATAATGAATAGTTATCTTACCACTACCTTAGCTTTATACTGTCCTCTAACTGGAATGCTGTATGTTTTCTATTGTAAAATCTTTCCTATTTATTCCTCATGATGGGAATTTTGGGCATTTCTTTCTTTTTTATTTTTAAAGATTTATTTATGCATACAAGAACTGGGGTATAGGCCAGAGGTGCAAGGGCAGGGGTGAGATGACCCACTATAGAGCAGAGAGGGGAGCAGAACAGGCAAATCACTGAAGTACACTGCTGAGGGGAGCAGCAGGTGGATCAGGAGAGGTCTGCTGCGCCATGTGGGTAGCTCCCTGGCTGAGGATCAAACCGCTGCAGTGGCTGCTGATAGCTTGATAGTGCTGAACTTTAACCCACTGCACCACCAAGGAGGGCCCTGGACATTTAAGAGTCACACCTGTAAATTCTCTCAATAGTATATGATATAACTTAAAAAAAAAAAGTATTTATGCATTCAGCACTGGGGTATAGGCCAGAGGTGCAGGGGTGAGAGGATTCACAGAGAGAGAGTGGGAAGCAGAACAGGCAGATGTACTGAAATCCACTGCTGAGGGGAGCAGTAGGTGAGACAGGAGAGGTCTGCTGCACCTTGGCTGGGGATGGAACTTGAGCTGCAGGCTGCAGATAGCTTCACAGTGCTGTGCTTTAACAGGCTGTGCCACCAGGGAGGGCTGTTTGATGCAACTTTTTAATAAAACAGGGGAGCCAGCACTCACTGAAAACCTATGTGCCCAACAGCAGGCTGCGTCCTTGGCACTTGCTGTTTCATTCTGTCCTAACCAATGGCTCAAAGTATTTACGCATTGTTAATGCCCACCATCTACAGCTGGTAAGAAGCCAAATTGGGATTTGAATCTAGTGGTAAGAAGCCAAATTGGGATTTGAATCTAGGACTGTCTTTTCACATGCCTCATGTGATTTTTTTGTGTAGTTAAGTTGGAATAAATATTTGTTGCTTTTCTTTGTAGTTTTTCCCAAATGGACATGCTTTTGCCACTGGTTCTGATGATGCCACTTGCCGACTCTTTGACCTTCGTGCAGACCAAGAGTTACTAATGTATTCTCATGACAGCATCATCTGTGGAATTACTTCTGTAGCCTTCTCAAAAAGTGGGCGCCTCCTGTTAGCTGGTTATGACGACTTTAATTGTAATGTCTGGGACACACTAAAAGGAGATCGTGCAGGTTAGTAAATAAATGCACATGCGGTTGTGATTTTTTTTTTTTTAAGATTTATTTATACATTCATACAGAACTGGGGTACAGGCCAGAGATGCGGAGGGTGAGAGGATTCACCAGAGACAGAGTGGGGAGCAGAACAGGCAGATCGACGAAGTACACTGCTGAGGGGAGCAGCGGGCGGGTCAGGAGAGGTCTGCCACGCCATGTGGTCTCCTCCAGGGCAGGCGGGGATCGAACTCATGCGGAAGTGGCTTAAGCTTCTTAGTGCAGTGTTTTAACCCGCTGCGCCACCAGGGAGGGCCCACGATTGTGATTTTTTACATCTTAAAAGAACAGGTTTATTAGGAAAATGAGAAAGAGAGACACTTGCACAATACAGATGGGCAAAGAAAAGAGCTCCTGCTGCTGCTTTGCAAAGAAAAACTTTTGTGGGAAGAAACAGCTGTGTAGGCACAGGCGGGCAGGGGAGCTGCCCAGTTTTGGTCTTATCCTGCAGCACAAAGAGGTTATCGTCAGTTGTGCAGGAGGCTTCCTGCACACCCTGGGACTCAGGGCAGTGGCAACCTGGCAGTTCTCATTCATGTTCATGGCTCTAGCTCCCAACCATAAATCACATGCAGAGTGACATCTAGTTCTGTAATAATTTCCTGTTGACTAAGTGTTGACATAAAGATGAATAGTGAATATCGATGTCTTTGTTTTCCTAAATTACAAATTTCTTATGAACAGACAGGAAACTCTAAGTGCACTGGGTCCCCATTCTCTGGGAGCTGGTCTGTGCCAGACCCTACGCAGACCCACTGTTGTCCTTTACCCCCAGCTCTAAGTGCTCCCCTTCAGCGCCCTCAGAATGTTAGTGTATGTCAGTCATACTGGGACCATCATTTAACAAATTATACAGTGATTTTAAAAAATCGTAGACAAAATTATCCTTATGGGGCCCTCCGTAGTGGCACAGAGGGTTAAAGCACAGCACTAAGAAGCTAAAGCCACTTCAGCATGAGTTCAACCCCCACCCCAGTGGTGATGATCCACACGGCGTGGCAGACCTCTCCTGACCCGCTCGCTGCCCCCCTCAGCAATGTACTTCGTCAATCTGCCTGTTCTGCTCCCCACTCTTCACCACCCCTGAAACTCTGGCCTGTATGAATAAATATATACATTTTTAAAAAATTATCCTTATGGAATCAAACTCTTGTACACAGCCTGTTACTCAAAACAGCATTTCTCTGACCACAGCCCATGTTTTGTGTTCCCAGAGGTAGCTACTTAAAAAGTAATTTATATCTTTAAATAACACGTCTGTATTGTTACTTCATTTAAGAAAAACACTTTTTTAGTTATTAACTGTTGTTTTCCTGTCGTCATGGACACTGAGAGTTTTGCTTTAACATCCTTCCTCTCACCACAGCCACATCCTTTCTGTGGTCCAACTTTTCCCATATAGTGAACTTTGTTTAGAACATCAGTGTTTATGAGTTTTTAAACACTGGTTACTGCTGAGCAATGAGGCATATATATGACTTTACTATGTGAATTTCTCATATTCTTAATTAATTTACTTATATTATTTTTGATGTGCTTCTTCGTAGTTAATCCTCTAGTTTTCTTCCAGTTTAGCTGGCTTGGAGTGGATCCATTTTCATCCATTACGCATAGCTAGTGGACTTTTTTATTTGGAAACATACAGTTTGTATAGTGAAAATCTGAGGGATTTAATTCATGTCTGTTATTATCATTCTCTTCTAGAGCTCCATTACTCTGGTGCTTAACTTTCAAGGATCTTTCCTAGCTTCTTATGTCCTCTCCTGTTTTCCATCTCTGTCCTTCTTAGCTGTGTTTGGGAGAAACATTCACATTTTTCTGCAGAAGAGTTTTGACTTTCCACTTTTGAGAATATTTTAAATTTGAGAGTATATTTCAAGAAGGCACACATTACTTTTCCATTTCTGTGCAGTTATTAAAGAAATTTTCTAAGTTTTATTCTTTATGCATAATCTTTTCTGTTCTCCAACTCCCCCCTTTTTATTTTTATAATCCACATCCTTATTTCCAGATTATTTCCTTAAAAGAGAGGTGATTTTTTTTTTAAGATTTATTTATTCATGCATACAGAACTGGGGTACAAGCCAGAGGTGCAAGGGTGATGAGAGGATTCACCAGAGACAGATTAGGGGAGCAGAACAAGCCAATTGACAAAGTATACTGCTGAGGGGAGGAGTGAGCAAGACAGGAGAGGTCTGCCGTGCCATGTGGATCACCTCCTCAGCCTGGGATCAAACTCATACTGCAGTGGCTACAGATAGCTTCATAGTGCTGTGCTTTAACCCCTTGCACTAGCAGGGAGAGCCAGAAGAGAGGTGTTTCTTATCTTCTTATTCATAATAAGAGTGAGGCACTACCACTGTTTAAAAGACCTGTCACATAGTTAGTGTGTACTGGCTATAGGCCTTACTAAAGAAAATGATGAGTAGACTTTCATTGAGGAGCCTCTGGTATATCTTATCACCTTCCCTTCCTGGGCTGGTCCTGTTCTCTTTGCTTGGATTTCCACTTTTTTGCCTGGACCGGATAGACTGGCTCATTTTAGGAAGAAAGCTGGGATCAAATAATTAGCAAGTAAATCTTACTTTCCACTTTCAGCAAAGATCACCAATCTCAATAGTACCCGTTTTCCTCCAGGTATGAGACCCTCCTTTACCCTTCTAGACCTGGAAATCTGACCCCTGATCAGTTTCTATTGTTTTCTTTGTCTACCACATCTTTGCTCCTAGTTGGCTCTAGAGCTACCTGATACTGCTAGTATCTGGCCCTTTTGGAGTTGCTGCAAGTGAGTGAAATTTGTTTTTGTGCTTAGCAGATCTTTTTCTTTTCCAGCAAGTAGCTTCTTGGAGCTACTCTCTCACCTAAAATTTAAGGTCTTAGGGTTGAGGTGTTTTTGCTTGAATTAATTAGTATTCATAACAAAGTAAAAATGTGTTCCCCACATTTTAAAACACAGGACTAACTTTTTACTGAACTTTTTTTTTTTTCAGGTCTTCTTGCTGGTCATGACAATCGCGTCAGCTGCTTAGGCGTAACTGATGATGGCATGGCTGTGGCAACAGGCTCTTGGGACAGTTTTCTTAGAATTTGGAATTAAGTGTCATATGTATTTTCTGTTCTCCACTGATATCTGGAGAAATCAATGCTACAGCCTATCGCTGTGAAAAAAAATCCTACCTTATATTTGCAGGTGAAGATTTTCTATTGAGATTATTATCTACAAAAAAAAAAACAACAAAACAACTTTTACTTAAATCTGAAAGAAAAGATGGAAAAAAAAAGCAAAGGTGCTTCTTAGATCAAAAGTCTAGTTGAAGAGTTACTAATTTAACCTCGTTGAGTTTTTGCTTGTACTCAGTCTAAATTTTATTTCTTGGGTTGAACAGAATGTACACATTATAGCGGCCTATCATGTTTGTGTGTGTTTGCAATTTTTAAGAACTGCATTTTAAACTATGTAAATAAGAATTGTCCTATCTTTGAGGTTTGAAATGGAGAAAGCAGGTACAGTAATAAATGGCAGTGTTACCAATGTATGTGTACTTATTTTGAAGAAAGTCTTGTTGATTGTCACCTTTTTAACCTAAAAGTGATTCAGTTGTTTAATATTTAAGAGTACTGACAGGCCAGGGTATCTGAGGGCAGTCCTATTCAAAATTATTAGTTTCTGGTACATCTTTTGTCATCCTGTCAGTTTATATAAGTGCTTGTTTCCAGTCCTGTAGAATTGGGGGGTAGGTAACCTGAAAGCCAGGGAATAAATATTTCACTGAAATTTTAGCAACTTTTGTTAATAACTGGTAGACAGCAGTACTCAAATACATTTGTTGGCATTCTAAAAAGTTGGTTATAGTCAGTTGACACTTTGAGTAGTAGCTCTTTCTAAATAGTTGAACTTTCTCATTGATTTTATTTTCTAGAACTGTTTGTAGAGTATGCTTATTTCAGGAATCAGTGAATTTGGATTGTCCTCGCATCTGTATAATTTCTCCCACTGTGCTCCACCAATTTGCATCTAAATAGAAAATGGAATGCAGTAGTATTATATTCTTGAGAGAGATGTAAAATCTAACAAATCACTAGGCCTGATTAGTTACAGTTGTAACAGGGTGGGTATATATAAGGTATTATTTAATTATAAGTCTGAATGAATGTTAACTGTGCCTTCAAAATTTTAAAATGAAACATTCGAGTTTTTTGCTCTTTTGTATATGTCTTCCCTTAGCATAAAATATAGTTTGTAAGTGCTTTTGCTTCAGAGACTAAGTAACCCCACTTTAAAGCCAAAAGGAAAGTTTCAAGAACAGTCTTAAAGGCACCAGAGGAAAACACTAAGCAGTTCCTCACTTGTCAATGGCATGATGTGTCTATTAACCAGAATGTCCTTCCTTCCCTCTCCGACCCCTGGAATTCAGATGCTTTTCCCTTTGGGTTTTCTCTTGCAAATAAATCTACATGACTGATAATAGAAGATTGTTAGTCTTGTTTGATAGTGAAGTCATGGGTTATTCTGATATATACATGTATATTGTTTTGTAATGTAGTAAATTGTGCCAGTGACTGTTGAGATAGGTCTCTGTTAACTTTTGACCACCTATAACCCTAACCTAAAAACTCCTAAGTTTTACCTATAAAATTCCATCTTTGTATTGTAAATGTGATATAGTAAGTGTATCAGTAATAATGAAGTCATCATCAGTGAAGATCAGTTAATATTAAAAAGAGTAACATCCACAAGGGTAGATTAAGATATAAACCCAAAAGTATTGTAGATGGAAGGCATGAATGTATATGTATACACATATGTTAAGATTTCTATTAACTTTTTACTATTAATAATTGTGCATTGTATCACCTTGTAAAGAACAGCTCTTGGAGATAAATGCAAATATGTGTTTATGGAATGTATTCATTTCCCAGAGGGTTTGCCATGTACTTTAGCAATTCATTCTAAAATCTTGTTCAAGAAAGCACTTCTAATGTGAGCAAAATGTCCTTATTTATATAAAAAGAGAACATCTGGCTACTTCGAAAATTATTCTAGTAACCAGAGTTTAGTCAGAGAGGTATACCCAGACTACAAGAATCTAGTGGTCTTAAAATATGTTAAAAATGATTTAATGTTTTAAGGTTTGCAGGACATTTTACAAGCAATTCCCCTGACTATGCACTATGCAACTGAAAATTAACCACAATTGTGTCTAATTATACACATGACCAAATGGTGACCTCATTAGCACCATTTACTTACTACTTAAATTTTTGTTTTCTAGTGATAGTTTCAGTTGCTGAATAAATTTGTTTTCTTAAGTTTTTGTTTAGTTGGTTATCTAATTCTGTTGAGTCCTGAAACTGATATATAATTTGTAAAGAAAGAGTGTATATAGTTGGAATTTTAAGTTTTTTAAGGCTTAGAAATATGACCAGATGTTTTAAGGAATTTGTATCAATATACTGCAGTTATCTGTTGCCATTTTTTTCTTGCCTTCTAAGAAACATTTAACATGTGTCTCAGCAGGTTTATATGTAGATTCTAATCACTCTAGAAGAGTAGTTTTCTGAGATACATTAAGGGCACATTCTTTTTTCAAAGACAGTGATAGTGGTTCACCAAAATATCCCAAAACCTACATGAAACCAATGATAGTTCTCAACAAGGATATCTTCTTTAACAGTCTTTATTTTTGGCAGCTCCACTAAAAGAGATTTAGCAGCTATACTATACTATATAGAGATTTAGAGAACATATCCGTAGCCCCTCTCCAGTTCATCATTTTTATAGTTATGATTCCATGGTCACGCTCTGTACTGATTTTCAACTGCATAGAAGCAAAATCTGGGCTTAACATTTCAACTTCAAGAGCCTCGTAGGCAATTCCCACTTAGTTGGCTGAATTGGTCACATGATAGTAAACTTGCTTAGGGAAAAAGGAAGTAGGGGCTTGTAGAATGTTATGAACTTTTAAAGCCAACTTTAAATGTTTAAAGCCAACTGAAGAGAAATAGAGTAACTTTCCCAGGTAACATGAAATTACTAAAAAATTCCGTGTCATTGTTACATAATCAACCTTCTCCAACACTTTTGGTATCTTAAAATAAGATGTTCAGGGGAAAATTATGCTTTGATTCTGGTGAGTGTCTCACATTTTAAATGATAACATAATTGAATACTTGTGGTTTATTTATAATACAACTGAGTATCTGTGGCTTATGTGTTTAAGCTTACAGACTGATTAAACAACCTTAAGTGAGCCTACCATTTTTCTAAATCTTTTATTAGAGTTGAGTCAGCCTTAAAGATCTTTAAGTATGATGTTCAGCTTCTAATTTCCCCTTAGCCTTATGGAAAGCAAAATTTTAAACTATTTTACCTTGTTAAAGAGTTTTGCAAACCATCATGTCAAGACTATTTTTTGTGTGTTGAGAAATGGTAGCACAATAAATAAAATAGGTGTTTTGCTACATGAAGTAGAATGTAAAAATACACTAGCTCCCAATGTTCCTTTTGAATTGTCTCAAATTCAGTGCTGTATTTGAAAATATTGGTTACAACAGGTACTCATTAAAATGGTTTGTAATTGGATGTAAGTTTGCATTATTTTACAAAATAATCAGACTGATGGTACACCTTGTATTTAGCTAATTTGTTTGCATGTTGATAAAATATAAGTTTTCTCCTGAATTCCATTTACTGATTCAAAAAAATAGTTACGACAATGCATCATGAAAAAATTCATTTCAACTGGTGTTAAATGTGCCTGACAAAAATCTTATCATTCAATACTTTTTAATTACAACTGCAGTGATATCCATGGTAGATATTTCAAGCCTTTTCTGTCTCTTACACAATGGTGCTCTATCCTATTGTTTTTCTCTTTTCAAAGCATCTGAACACTGTATTTTGCATATCTTATCCAAAGGCATCCACAGCTAAGTGGATTTTTCTTAAAGTTGACTAAAATGTTTCTCTTCACCTAAAATGATTTCTACAAACTTGTAGCCAAATAACTAAGTAGTATAATTATGGGAAAAGTGAACATACTAGATTAAAGCTCTCTTAAAAAGCTTTAAACTGAACTATAGACTTGCACCATGATTTAAACTTCTTGGATCTTTCTTGCAGTGATTCATTCCTTTATTTGTATAGCTCTGTGAGATAATGTTGCTGTGAATTGGTATTTTAATCAATAAAGTGCTTTTAACCATAATGCACGGAGCATGTTTTAAAGTCAACTTTTAGGACTTATTTTTTGGATTTATTTTTTAAGTCCAGTATTTCATCTTAACCCTGATTCCTTTACCTAAACATGGGTATTTTCTTTATGAAAAATAAGATGCTGGAAGTAAAAGACTGTGTTCTACTATTTAATACTGTGCTATTTTACTGGCTGACAGATTTTCACTACAAAGCAAAAATTAAGTCATTCTTCCAATGGAGTTAACTTAGGATAAATTACTTTCCTTTCCTCTTTTTAAATGACCAATTATATTGCTGATAAAAATTTTCTATTATTCTCAAATTTGTGGGAGAATGAGGGAATTTATATAAAGATACTCCCTAATAAACATAGGTCATCTTAAATTTACTTCAAAAAATGAGGGTCATACTGATTAAAACAAGTCTAAGCATAGTTGTTAATTCTTGAAGCAGTTGTTAGCTGTGGGGTCTCGTTTTCCTTCTCTATTTTTATATGTATTTAACTTTTTCATAATAAAATTACTTTTGTTTTTAAGTTACAATGCTAGCCCATTGGAGGGCACTTAGCACTATAGGTTTAAGCAGAGGGCAGAATACCACACTTTTAATATTCCTTATTCTGGCAAAAGTACAAAAAAGTACCTGTAAATTGCATGAGTAATGTGGAAAACTCTGAATAAGCATGTCTTCCCCGGTGAATCCATGGTGGCCTGTGACATCTATAACATATCAAACAACACCTGTATGTAACTTTTAAGCTTTCAATACTGTCCTGGCACACTAGCCAAGAGTTAATGCAAACATATGATAGCTAGTCTACTCAAGATAGTTTTTTAAGCTTACCATGAAAAATTAAGAATGAAAGACTAAAACTCATTAAATGCCAGTATAAATGCTACATTTATCGACTATCAGGCAAATGAGTTTATTTTCACCTTGCAAGCTTACATACTTAAAGAGTTCTATAAAAAGTTTAATAAGATTATACAGTTTATAAATTATCCTGCAAACATACAAAGTAAACAATCAAGTATGTGTAGAATAATCTTTAACTATTTCAGGTGTAAATTACATAATCTTCTGTATAATTCATGGGGCTATTGTACTTATCTCCACACATAAGGGCTGAATTTCATTATTTTAGTGTTCCATAGCCAACATTTGTACATGTTCAAACTTCATCAGGTAAAACTGTGTTCAGACTAATGATGGAAACTTATACCAGAACCTCTATTTCATTGTTTGTGAACTTTATCGTGCATCAGGGTCATCCAAAGAGGTTAAAGCAGATTGCTGGACCCCTTGCCCAGTGTTTCTGACCCAGTAGGTCTAGAATAAGGTCCAAAAGTGAGCATTTCTTACAAGTTCATAAGTGACTGAGTTGATCTAGGGACCACCTTTGAGAAGTATACTATTATATTAATGGGGTGATCCCAATTACTGCTTTTTCAAAAGTTTGTATACTTTCATATAGAGTAACACCTTGAACTTGTGACTATATTAGCAGCACCCTGTCTTTGACACCATTTTTTCAAGTTAACAGTTGTCACCTAATACCAACTGGTGGTGTGTTTTTTGGGGGGAGGGGAAGGCAGGGGGATTATGAATCAACAGTAGAAGCTATAAACTAATATTCATTTGGATTTAAATGCTGCATCACAGTAGCTGACATACATAAAAAGTATTTTAGAAAGGCTTCTTTAACCTAAAATTATTTGCTTCTTAAAATATCTTGAAAAAGTGTTGCACCAGTTGTTAAAGATGGAATAGCATCCAGGAGCCTTAAAGGCACAGAAAAGGAAGTACTGAGTATTAAAAGGGTCTTAATTGTATTCCTCACAAGGAAAAGCAAAACTATATTTGATCAAATGCACTGTGTCCCTTGGAATTGTACATTCTAACAAGCACCTCAGTGATGATGATTTGCTGGTTCTCAGCACTACATTTTGTGTTGCAAGGCTCCAGAATGTTACTTTGTTATTTTCTGTTTCCATAAACAGTTGATTAGTTTTTAAAACAGATACAATATTATTTAAATTCATAATTCATTAAGGTAACCATGCACTGGCAAACTGATATTACTAAATTAAAGTAAAAACTGCATCAGAAGGGCAATTCCACAACATCCCCAGCAAATACCCACTGAAAAACCATTTGTACACAACTATAACCAGACAAAATCCAGATCTCATCTTTGGCTTTTTTTTAAATTATTTCAAACTTCACTTCTAATACTAAGGTAGAAAGCTTTCTTTATTGAAATCATAATTGAGGCAAGGCTGAAAATGTTTCCTCATAAATATATCAGGAAACTACTAGATTTACTCTTAAAGAGACTATAATAACAAGCCTTTATTCTGTTGTACATCAGTTTTAATGGGAATAAGAGAGGGAGTAAAAACAGCATATTTATTAGTGGTTTACACACCTGCCAAGATGGCAAAAGTGACTGTAACTTACATAAATAATACACTCAAGAACATTCCACATTCCTCCTTAGTTTAAGAGCAATGCAGTTTATAAACAAAACAAAAAAGTGACTATTCCCATTAAAGTAGACATCAAAAATTAGTTTTGAGAAAGATGAAAGGAACATTCTCTAACTCCTGGATGCCAGGAAGCAGAGTTTTTCAGAATCAAAAACAAAGAGAGCCCTAATTAAGAGCAAGGCCCCACCCCTCAGGGGTCAAGTCTCATAGTTGGTTCTGTTGCTTTTAATTAATTCATTATTTTAATATAGCAAACAATTTAGCAGTTTCTTTCCCCCAAATTAGAACTAAACAGACATCATAACACACTTCAGAAATGCAAACACCCTGAGATACAGATCATTACCAGAATCTACACAAGGATTTGCTATTTAGGTACAGTTAGTATAAGTCATAAATTCATTGCATAAAAATAACTCTCCCAATCTTCTCAGTTCCATTTTCTCCAATGATGACCACCAAAGCTATTTCCTCTATTGTTAAGATTCTTCTCCACTGCTTGAATGTAGAAACTGCTTAGTAAAATTCTCCAGCTCATTTTCAAGTTGAACAGCCTTCTTTCTAATTTGAAAAAAATGAATAAAATGCATTCTAATTATCACAAAGGTCAATGAAAGAAAAAACCACTGCTGTATTTATCCAAACTAAGGTTCAACTATTATCAACCCTTTACAGAGTATTTATTGTATGTTAACTTTTCAGTAAAGTTTCCAGTGTTTAAGACCTTTAAAAAAAAAAAAAAAGGTATAATAAGATAAAAGAGACAGCCAATAATAGGAAGCATAAGAGACAATGGAGTCATACCATTGAACATAGAAGTTATATCTTAAGTCATGTAGTCCCAATTGTCTTTCAGTTCCCTTTATGTTAAGCATAAAGTATAGAACCTTATGTTAACAGGAATTATGTGGCTAGAAGAAATGAAAGGACCATGGTGAACCAAATACGCTTTTTAAAAAAATATTGGAACCATATATATGATGCAGCTAAATAGCCACAGTGAGAGGAAAGGTGGAAGTAAAATTGACAAGGAACACAGATTTGTTGTAGCCTATACTCCTCCCTCTATCTCCCACACCACTCTCATTTTGTTGCTGAAAACATATGGTTGGCATCATATAACAAAATTCACATATGGAACTCCACTGTGCAGTCTCAGGCAACTATACTGAAGCATTAAGTTAAATGGCTAAGAATAATTTAGCACCAATGGAGATTTTAAGTATTATGGTATTTACTTTAAACTTTGTCCTGCTAGAAAATTCTGCAAAAGATTAATTTGCAGAATGAGAATATTCATACTTACTGAAGTCTGTGCTGCCAAAGTCAAAGGGCTACTACCTCTGTAATAAATGCTAATATAATTTATTATTTGTTTAATAAGATTAAGGTCTTTAAAAACCAATGGAAAACATCAAAATAAAAAATATTGCAACCTGCCCCCCCCTTGACTCCTGCCTCACCCAATGTTTTAAGACATAGCCAGGTTAAAAACAAATTCTACTTGGGGCCTCCCTGGTGGCACAAGGGGTTAAGTTTCAGCACTATCAAGCTACACCAATCACTGCAGCATGAGTTCAATCCCTGGCCAGAGAGACCAAATGGCACGGCAGACCGTTCCTGTCACACCCGCTGCTCCCCTCAGAAGTTTATTTCAGTAGATCTGCCTGTTCTGATCTCTACTCTGTCTCTGGTGAATCCTCTTATCCCCTGCACCTCTGGCCTACCACCCCAGTTCTTGTATGCAAAAAAAAAAAAAATCTTTTTTTTTTTAAAAGATTTATTTATTTGTGCATACAGAACTGGGGTACAGGCCAGAAAACTCAGGGGTGGCGTAAGACTTCACCAGAGACGGAGTGGGTAGCAGAACAGGCAGATCGACAAAGTACACTGCTG